AGGGCCATGACTTCAGAAAAGCACATGAAGGCAGAAACCTCCTCTCCCTGGAAAGGGTTTCCCTCTCTTTGGGACAGCCCACAGGCAGGTCAAGGAAGGATACAAGCAGATGTGTGCCAAACACAGCCCTGCTGTGGGGCTGCAGGTGGGTATTTCTTCTGCACTGCTTTAAGATCCATGAAGTCTTTCCAGCTCACCACCACCAGCAAAGATAAATTTAATTTTGACCCAAGCATCAAGTCTGGATAAGGCCAAGCACATCAGAATACCATTCTTGCTTCTAATGAGAACAAAGCCAGCCTCAGCATGCTTCAAAGGCATAGATTAACAGTATATTTCACCACTAATCTGCCTCTCTAAACCAGCAGCAAAAAGAAAGGTCAGTCCCTTGGACAACGACAGAAGCTGCAGCACTGGTGTAGAAAAGCAGCTTGTGTGGCTGCTCAGCTGTTTAGGAAGCTTGATGCACCCTGCAGCAAGGATGATGGAATGGGGGTTTAGCCACACACCCCATGGCAAGGGCTGGTCCCTCCCTGTGCCCCTCACTCACCTCTGCACGGCCAGGCTCCGCACCACGGAGGAGAGCAGCTGCCCATCCTTGGAGGACACCTGCATGACATACTGGGGGCAGCTGGTGGCCGGGCCCCCGCTGCTGCCAGGCAGGCTCTTCCCATCGGGGGCTGCAGGCTGGGGATGGTCTGGAGGTACTCCAGGCAGGTGGCTGCAGCGGTTGCTCCTCATGGCGCTGGGCGGCAGGTCCCCATCTAGGCAGGAATGGGGACACGGAGGTGCTGTGGGTCACATCCCTCCCTGGCTGACCAACAGCAGGCGTGAGAAGGAGCATCCCTCAGTGCCCACCCCTGGTACCTGAAGCAACTCAGCAGGGAAAGGGAGTTTGCAGTATTGGATGTTGCGAGAATCTGTCCAAATTTTCCCTCATCTGCCCTACAATCGTCACTGGAGACCACTGAAGAGAAGACCCCCCTGTCTTGAATCTCTGGCTTTGTAGGAGAAAGTTACACATACCAAAGGCCCTAAGACCTGAAAGCATAGTGCCAAGTTACTGTTTTCACAGGTGTTGTTTGCTGTATGCTACACTGAGCTCAGAGGGCATCCTGCCCTTTTGCACAATAGCTCTGGAATCCTCCCCACCTCTCGGCCTGGCTGGATTGCTCCTCGGCTTTAGGGTGGTCCCCCTCCAAAGGAAGAGCCCTCTCACCTGTTCATAACCACCATGACAGACAAGGAGAGATGTAAGAAGCCTCTTCATCAAGGGACCAAGACATGAAATCCCTGTGGGAGAAGGCCCCTCTCACCTTCCTCCAGAGACTGGGACTGAAACCCCCAAACCCCGGGGAGGTGTGCAAGGGGGGAGGAAAGCTGCCCAAAGCAAGGTGGATGTTGCAAGTGTAGGCAGTGGACCACGAAAATAATGGTTCTCACCTGCTGCCAAACTCAGACTGTGTGTACCCTTATTTTCCTCCCTGAAGATACAGTAAACTACCTTTGTTTCAATTGCAAAATGCACTCCTCTTCCCCCCATCAAAAAGAGTATAATTGGGGTTCAGATGAACCGTGCCTCTGAGATCTCCCCAGCGTATCAGGCAGATCCTCAACTGGACTGGACCAAAGGACTTTGTCTCTACGTTTGGTAGCAATATCCCTCTCTCTCTCTCTTTTCTTCTCTTTCTCTATCTTTTTCTCTCCCTTAATCCCTCTATCGCATTTTGCTGTGGTCATTCAATAAAGGTGCATTTGTTTTGATTATCACTGCAAGCCCCCTGTGCCGTGTTGGTTCTTTCTGCACCCTGAGATCACCCCACGAACCATCACGAACCCATTTGTGGGGACGGATGGCAGGTGTCACAGAAAAACACAGCCTGCACATCCCACAAGCAGCAAGGCAGCAACCTTGCCTTCTCCTCTCTGCACACTCCTGAAGTCATGAGTGATAAACAGAGAGGCTGAACCTCCCCCTCCAAATGTTTCAAAGGTATATACAGTCTGTGCACTTCCAAATTTAAAGGCTGCCACTCTCTGCCGAGAGGGAAAGTTATGTGCTGGAGGAAAAAATGGCTGATTGGCTTCAAATCCCCTTTGAAAACACTTCCATGCTGCTTAGTGTCTTCTATCACCAACCCACAGCAGAGCACAGACCTGGCAATTAATCCTGTACAGGGTTTTAGTCACACAAACCTGCTTAATCACAGCTTGCACAGCAGTAATTTATGCCACAAGGTGAGGCAGAAATCACAGCCTGCCCGTGCCTCTCTCCTCTGCTTTGCTCTCTCTCACATCACTGTGAGTGTGTTTTGCACAGTGCTTTCACACATGGCAATTGGGAAGGAAGGGTTGTGCTGGGAACAAGTGTGATTATCCACTTGTGGGGAATTTTGGATGGAATTTGAGACAGGACTTCTGAGTTGTTTTTGATGATGTGGTTTATCTTTCTTATCTTCCGGATAGGTGGGAAGAGTGAATTTGGCTCACATCTTCATCCCATGGCTCAGAAGGTTACAAGACCCCTAATTACAAGACCTTTTAAGGATTTATCGACCAACAAAACACTGCCAACAAGGATATTTATGTTTTTGACCCAATCCTTAAATATTTTGTCATATGGATCCATGCTACAGTGTAAGCTTCCTTAGCCAATCATGTTATGAGAGACAAACCTACAGCACTGCATTCTAAACTCCTTGTTTTCCTCTGGAACTACTTTCATTTTTATATCCTAAACTCCAACACTCTAAACTTTCTTCCACTTAACATGTGTCTGCTCTAAACTATAAATCCACATTCTCACCTCTAGCATCTCAGTTTGGGAACCTTTTCCAAGGTCTCTGTCGCAGACATCTTCTCATTAAAAGTCCTTCCTTAGAATTTTTCCTCCTGAGAAGCTGAGAGGCCTCAGAACAAAATGTAAACAATGGTTATCTACTGCTGTGGGATGCAACAGGTGCATCTGTGCTTGGTGCCATCTGGTTGTTTCTAATTAATGGTCAATCACAGTCAGCTGGTTCAGATAGAATCTGAGGCAGCTGCCTGTGTTATCAGTCTTTGCTATTCTTAGCTAGCCTTCTGATGTGAACTTCTCCTTCTATTCTTTTAGTGTAGTTTTAATGTAATATATATATATCATAAAATAATAAATCAAGCCTTCTGAACATGAAGTCAACATTCTCATCTCTTCCCTCACCTGAAAACCTCTGTGAACACCGTCACAGGTCTCAGATCAAATTTTTGTTTAATTGTAAGCTTTGGCTTACAGGCTAAAGTTCTGAGATTCCCCTGCATTTCAGATTCCAACCAGAAGGAGCCTGAGTGTGTAAATTGCTGATATCATGGTGGGATGGATTCTCCTGGCTGGGTGTGCCTGTCCTGGAGGGTTCCACCCAGGCTGTGTCCCTGCCCTCCTCCCCTTTGGGTCAGGCCCCACAAACACACACACAGGGTGGGTTAATCCCTCTGCAAAAGGGGGAAAAGGTTCCCTAGCATGCCCTGGGACACTTGGCTGCAGTCCTGTGTAAACATTGCAGGTTGCAATGATGATATTCCCGTGTTAAAATCAGGAGTTTCCTCCTCAAAAAAAGTGTTCTGCATCACTCACCACGGCTGTATGGTGTCAGCACTGCAGCTGAGAAGAATCTTTAAAAGCCAAACATGAACAAAACCCTTGTAAACAGGGGTGTTTCTCCAAGGATTTAGGTAAAACCCTGTGTTTTGGCTCTGTTGGATTTGAGGAAGAGCAGCACCAACTTTGGGAAGCCCCCTGAAGGGATGGCCTTGGCAGAAAGATTTTGGGGCACGTGAGGACTGGTGTGGATGCTGGACCATTTGCACCACACAAGTTTTCACACAGGGACCCATGTTCTTAGAAAGGCGTCTAAAAGAGGAAAATAGGTTTGTTTTGCAGGATGACTTCAGCTGTTTTCAGACCACACATCCCCCAGGGAAGGAGCTGGAGGCTGATGAGACAGCTTGCAGGGCAGAGAGCGTCCAGGGAATGGGGCAGGGAATTGGACTCTGGGCCTCATTTACAATGAAAATGAAGAAAATGGCTGATGTCAAAACCATTAACATATAAAAGATGCAGACATTTCAAGAGAATAAGAGCCACAGACTCTCCAAGGAGACCATGGTGTTCAGTTTTAGTTTTAAAATCCATGCTGAGACCGTTTAAAAAGAACGTTCAGCTGCTGAGTAGCTGCTTCATTAAACTTAAAAAGCCTAAGAAGTATCATGCTTACAGACTCACACTGCAGAATTATGTATTTTTATTCTGATTGCTTCACTGACCCCATTAAGTACAACAGTGGTTTTATAATTTCATGTATAATGGCCATCCAGGCCTTTACAAACACATCCCTCAGTCACTTGATGAGTTGGAGCATCAGAAGATGCAACTAAATGCAAAGCTTTAAAGCACACAGGAAATTATCTGGCTGTATCTCAGGAATGTTAATTCAAATTTCTGCCTACAGCACTGCATTGATATCCCACTTTGGCAGAGCAGATACAGGTAATCCCTTTCTACTTTTTTTTAAAAAAAGAAGGAAGGTTCAGGTAATCACTTTCTGCCTTTTTTAAAAGGAAGCTGAAAGTTACGACACATTTCTCTGAATTCAGAAGAACCATTTTCACACAAAATCAGTGCATGTGCCTGAAAAGTGATACAATTATAGAATTAAATGATGTGTGCTTTAATACTGAAACCCATGGTAAATAATGGAGATTAGTTGTCCCGAGAAGCACAGAGATCCTAAGCAAATCCCAAATTAAAGCTGGCATTAGGGAATTGTCAATTTTAACAGCCACAAACTCCCAAAGTCAATATTTACCATATGTATGCATTATGTCAAGAAGTTTTTCACCTGAAACAAGTGGAAATCTGTCAAAAATGCCTCAATAAAAGAGAAAATAAAGAACAAAACCAGGGAGATGTGTTTAGCTGGTATTTCTGAAGAGAAGCATTATTACATTGGGGGAGAAAGAATATCAATATTTATTCCAGACACCAGCAAATTCTGAGAAAAAGTGGCTGAATTTGGCATGATGAATGTATGGTAGTATTTAGCTCTTTGTTTTTTCTTTTCTGTGCTTCACTACTTGTAGTTTTTCATATATATGTATATATATATATATATATATACACACACACACACATATATGTATGTATGTATGTATGTATGTATGTATGTATGTATGTATGTATGTATGTATGTATATGGGTTTATGGCTATCAGAGTAAAAATAAAGGTGTTGCAGGTATTTTCTTTATGCAGTAGGTGTAAAAACAATGACAATGTAACCAACAAACTCAAGCAAGTACCTGAGGGCTTGGTGAAGCTGTGTAGAAGATTCAAGTGCAGAAGACATCCTTTGCCCCATAAAGACTCACAGGATGGTATATTCCTATTTAAGAGATTTATAACTTCTGAAGCAAAAGACCTACAAGGCTCAACAAGTGAGCAAGGCACCGCCATTCTGATTGAGTTACCCCCAACTAAGAAGTAGAAAACCAGAGTTACTGCCCTGAAATGGAATTAAAAGGCAAAGCCATCTGGAGCACAGCTGGAATCCTTATTGCACTCTCTCTGGCTGTGCCTGAGCTCACCCCGGTTCTGAGACCCACAAAGCATCATCAGGGTGATGAGTTAAATTATCACAGCAGAGCTTTTTAGAGCAGGGCTGTTTCCCCACTGGAGCTGCGTGTGGCTGGGACTGACACAAGCCAAAATGATATTTACACTTCAAGCAGTGGGTTCCAAATGTTGAACAAATACTCGTGGAGTTGCTCCCTTTTCCTT